GTCTGCTGTTCGCAGTATGAAATGTTGTGCTGACGCAACGTCGTCATTAGCTTGCGCAGTAATGTTTATAACATTTCTGCTTCTAACACCAGCAAGCTGCCTGCTGTTACAGACCTTGTATGATTGACATCGGATAATGCGGCCTTTCTTCTTTCGACCAGCTCTACAGGGGGCTTATCAAAGGTTTTTTTTTAAACTAGCATTTTCAAGCCGGTCAGAAGCCAATCAAGAGGGTTATTAACCAGTAATATTGCATATTTACAGATGCAATATTTCTTAGTCTCTTTGACCTGATTGAATTCCATTCGATTAATTGCGTAAATTGCGATAATTGAATTTAATTGAATGCAAACAATTCGAAGATTTTATGTTTGCGTTGAATAGGTGTAATTAAATATTTTATATGAATAATATTGTTCACTGTGCTATTAGTAAGTCAACTTATGAGTGTCATGAAATATTCTGTAGACATATATAAAAAGTTGAAATTTTTCTAAGAAATCTAGAAACAAAACTAGGGTATGTGTACCAGTTTTAGGCCCTAGTGGTCGTCAAATTGACTTTATCTTAAATTTCACATTTCAACTTTTTTTCTAAATTTGTTTCGATACAAGGTAAGAAATCTACGCAAATAAAGTCATTAAAATTTATTTCAAATATGGCCCTAGGGCCAAAAACTGGACCACTAGTGCCAATACTGGTAGTGCTGTGACGATATCGATAAGTCAGATATTATCGATAAATATCGGGTATAAATTATCGATATGATAACCGATATTTAAGAATCCGTTATCAACGATAATGGAAATTCGATATCGGTCAGATTTTAATAATCATCAACATGGTTCTATCTCCAGTGGAAGGATCTGGTAACGAAGAATTTGTTCGTGACGAGCCATTGAGAAAGATCTCTACCGCTAATTTGGTATGGAGTTATCACGAGGGAATGTAGACGAAGTAGACAGCTCACTTCGTACAGAAATTGATATGTAGGTACGCAAGGAGTGGTATCGAACTACATGTGCTATTTTACGGTACTTATCTTACTGAGGACAAATAAGAACAGTACATTTCCATATTTGTTGGCTCTGAAACTTCTGTCAAATATTACAACCTCGGTCCCTTGAGAGCGTTTGGTTTCGAAAACACGGCGAATACTGTACGATGTAGGCTCGAAGAGTGTACAGAATATTTTTGTTTGTGTAATGTCGATATTTTTGATATTCCAAATGCATTATGAAGTTGGAAGAGAATGAAATATGTTTAATGTATTTTCCATTGAATATTAGATATCGGATCCAATATCGATACTCAAAATCCGATATCGAAATAATATCGATATTTTCAGAGACCGATATCGATATTATCGATAAATACGACTTCGTCACAGCACTAAGTACTGGTACACTTATCATATGTAAAATAGATTCAAACGATTACTGTAAATAGTGCGATTCTGTGACACTACCCCGAATGTCACTACCCCGAATGTCACTACCCCGAACGCCGTTACCCCGAAAGCTACTACCCCGAATGTCCTACTACCCCGAATGGCCATTACCCCGAATACCCTACTACCCCGAATGACCATAACCCCGAAATTAAGACAAACGGAAGAACAGCATGCGATTAAAAGGATAAGGATTGTGCTACATTTCCCCGAATACCATATCCACGAAAAAAAAGGAATTTTTCAACCTTGGTAATTTTCTTACTATATATTGAGCATAGTGAGCAGATTGCAACCCACCTTAAATTTCAAACCATGCAAATGGAAGATTTAATATGAGATTAACCCAACTACCAATTAATTTGCTTCGAGTAGCTAGAAACCCATTCCCAAAGCACAGGATGCTCACTATGCCCCTCTTTTCCCTATATTAATGTATTGAGCCGTTTAAAGCATTTTCATTTTTATATATAGAATAATAATCCAAAACCAGTATGCTTGTTTTCAGTTCATTTATTATTCATCATTATTTGATTTGTTTCTTGGAACACCGTTGAGAAATTCTTCCTTTTTTTAGACATGAGCTTTGGAGTTTTGAGGTTTTCATACTTTTAAACACTGGAATGTAATTGTAGAAGGAGAAAAAGTAATTTAATAAACAGTAATTGGAATTTTTTCCTTCTTTTGATCATGAGCTATTCTTTCAAACTTAATTGGACCACAACATGATTAAAAATAATAATAAGTAATTTTAGAAAATAAATGGATATTTTTTCTTCTTTTCATGAACTATGGTTCAATTTAATACGAAAGAACAGCTCATGAAGAAATTAAGGGAAAAGAAATCTTAATTGGATATTTCTCCTTCTTTTGAATATGAGCAGTTCTTTCAGAAGGAAAATGGGAATATTCTCATCTTAGAATATTCGATTATGAAGGAATATTATTATATTTTCAATCCATTTGTTAAAGTGTCACTAAAGAGGGAAACTTAAATGCAGAACATGTGAATCTCATACACCCAGATCGCTGCGTGAAGGATTATAATGCCTTTGGAAAAAATCTGCTTGTTTTTACTGCTAATAATACCAGTTACACCGATTCTATAACATTCCCCAGAAAACCATTCCCCAGAATGTACCATTCCCCAGAAAAGATGATGAAATTAGTAATTTATCACTTTTTTTTTGTCATTTTATATTGTTATATATTCAAAGAAGGGAATATTTCCTTCTTTATCGTATATCCAAAGAATTAATTATTTCCTTTTGTTATATTTTCAAAGAAGGGAATATTCCCTTCTTTATCATATATTTAACGAATTAATGATGTTCTCTTTTATACATATGCAAAGAAGGAAATATTCCCTTCTTTATCGTATATCCAAAGAATTAATTATTTCCTTTTCTTATATTTTCAAACAAGGGAAAACCCTTTGATCCATTAAGGTCTCCTAAAACCCCTTGACCCATTAAGAAGTTTTTCTCTTCTTTTTATATATGCGAAGGAAGATTCCAGGAGTGACTATAATAAACAAAAATACAGCTTACAGCTTTTGGAAATGGATTCGGGGTAATGGTCATTCGGGGTAACGGCGTTCGGGGTAGTGTACCGTTCGGGGTAGTGTACCGTTCGGGGTAACGGCGTTCGGGGTAGTGACATTCGGGGTAGTGTCACAGAACCAAATAGTGCGTATTGTTGCTAGAAAATATAGCCGTTCCTTTTTTTTAATCTTTATTTGAGAGATTTTTACCTGAAGGCTAGTTCATCTCTAATAGCTGTTCGTGTTAACTTTGAGATAGCTAGCTGGGAACCCCAGGCACCTTAGCCATAGTGATCGAAAAAAGTTTGCTAGGAACGCCCTTCATTTGTCTTTTCGATCAATCTTTCCATGTTTTTAGTGCAAAACAATTGGAGTTGATGTTTTGCTCAAAACATTCTCAATTGGCCGCAGCCTCGGCCGCAGCTGAGAAGCATATGGAGGATTGAATCCTTGGGTATTACAGGTATCGATAAGCACTCGATTTTGCACTTGCGAAATTATTGCGAATAGAACGATGGTCAGCTCAAAACACTGCATAATTTCCGCATAAACCGGGACATTTGTTGCAAAATGATGTTGCTTCTCTTTGGACTTCAAAATGTATACAGTTAACTCCTAATTTTTGGGGTCGTACTTTTCCTCCTACGAATCAAAAATGAAATCAAGGGATGATGCAATTGGCTCCAAACATGAAAAAAATTTAACGAAAAAAAAATGATACATACATTTTTCTTCTAAGTATACAAAAAGATTTAAGGTTAGAAGAAGTATTGGCGTAGAGTTTCCCAACTTTATTGCCATAACAGAAAAACAATACGTATGGTTTACAATGACATTTCAGGATTAATCGTTGGGTGGCAGGTCATTGCATACAAAATCGGCGAAAAATTTATACTTTTTTGATTGCAAACGTTAATATATTTTTTTTGCTGTGTGACGTGAGGTGAGGAGCTAGCTATATAGTTATAAATAAGAACGTAAATAGTTAAGGAAAAACCAAGACATAAGTTCAAAAGTTCTAAGAAGACAGATAATTATAAACGACGCTATAATTATTTTAATTGAATTGACTACCCCTTGATCCACTTTCTCATTTTACAGCTAGTATAATCAATTTGACAGATCGATGTCTTTCTATACCATATGTTATGTGCTATAGCTTTTGCGACTTGCAAGTAAAACATTTACTCCAGCCGAACGAAACAAACCGGTGATACTAAAGGAACTAACGGCCATACATTGGGCCATCAATTACTTTGAGCACTCGACGTGTATGGCAGACGTTTTACAGTACGAACAGATCACAGGAAACTTGTCTATCTGTTCGGAATAAACAAAAAACCCAACATCTAAACTAACTAGAAGGATAAAAAGCGTGTAGAAGGATTAGATTACGACGTTGTGTATATTAAAGGTAAAGAAAATGTAGCAGCTGACGCATTATCACGTATAGGTCCTACATTCGAAGAATTAAGGCAATCAAATATACTATTAGTGAATACAAGGGTAATGACCCGTAGAAACACGCAAATAAGAAATAAAAAAGAAATTAGAAAAGAAAAGAAAAAAGAAAAGAGATTGATCACCTTTCAGTAAATTAAACAGAATGTCCTACGGAAACAAGAGAAATAATAAAACTGTCGACAGTCATAGTAGACAATACAATAAATTATAAATACAAATTTATGATACCTACTAAAGATAAATACGCTTGTTGCACAAGTGCATCAAGACGTAAGAAATGGAGGTCAGGCTTTAGAGTCTGCTCTTCCGGAGATTGAAAAGTATGCAAAAAGATGTACGTGTTAAAAAATGTGCACTCTCTGCAGAAGAATATATATTTAAATTGGTGCCAATAAATTACTTTAAAATAATTGCAAATAAAGTAATAAGTTATTTGCAAATTATTATGTATAAGGAAATTAAAACCATTTTATATAACAACCCATAAACCTGGTTGCATGAATGCACGGAATAACCTTTATTAGGCTTTGGAGCACGACTTACCGTTACTGTTACGCATCCACATATTGTTAGCTGTCGTTGTAACTGAATGAGTGCCTGCTGCTGGTTGTGAAACACCGAACATATCTGCAAATGGATTACCTAACTGAAGCAAATCATCAGAAGCTTTAGTAGGATTGGTAAGTTGCACGTCGGTTCCACCGAACAGATCTACAATGTTGCCTTGCATTGCAGGAGGAGATGACAGGAACGGATTTGTCATGGCAGTGTTACCACCGCTGGCTGTGGGTGAAGAGACTTTCGACTGAAATTAAAAAGTTTCAAACATTACAACGATAGTCATGTGCGAGAAAAATAATAATTGTTACTTTGTATTGATTCATAGCAGCCTCCTCCTCTGCAAGAGCTTGAGCTTTAAGATTCTCGTCAATGTTGCCGTTAGTTGGATTATCAAACTTTGTTGACGCGGCAGCAGTTCCGAAAGAAGAACTAGTAGAAGATAGGGCGGTCACTCCACTCTTTACGTTCTTTTGATTGCTATTAAGTTGATGTGGCAGAGAGGGGACAGGGGAAGTGGATTTGTGCAGATATTGGTGCAGATTGATAGAAGGAAATGTAATGCAGAAAAAAGTATAATTAATGTATTGTTACCATGATTTGTGCGTATCGATTGTGTGAGATGGTTCGTTGTTGCAATTTTTAAATTGTACCATGGTAAAAACCAAAATTTGAAGGGTGTCAGTCAACAGTACCAAAATAACCAATCAGAAATTTGGAATGAAAGAAGTGAAATAAAGTATATTAATCTATAGGCAAAAACATAATAATATGAAACTAATAACTACAGGAAATGAACAGTATCTCAATGAAATAGCAGCAAGCACAATTTTTGCAAAAGTTGCGGATTTTTTTTTTCTTATATACAAAAAAATACAGAGGTGGTACCGTGGAGGCCACCATATTTGACGCATTTCCAAACTTAACGCAGTTTTGTACTAGGAGATTGTGAGGCAAAATGGCATTTCGTGTGTTTCTGAATTCCTCTCCGAATTCTAACAAACATTGCTAATGCTCATTTAGCATTACAGCATTATTTATAGTATTTTTTCATGTGGTTTTCCTCTCCGAATACTAAAAAACATTGCTAATGCTCATTTAGCATTACACCGTTTGAAAAATTCATGTAAATTTCTGCGAGATATAACGCACATAAAATTTATACTAGATTTATACGATATTTCGTGTAAATATAAGCGCAATATCGCTTAAATTAGCAATATTGTATGCAAGCTTCTAAAAGATTTCCTTGTCTATGCCAACTGTAGCTCAAAATTAAACGAGGAAATATTTTATGTAATAGTTAAAATTCACATTTTTTCTGTGTAGCAGTGCTGAATAAAGAGCGCATTAGCACTAGTAATGCTGAAATAAAGTAGATTTAAGGCTAATGCTTACGGTTCCTTGGGTTATTCCATACACAGGATCCCTCATTCAAAGTTTACAACTCTTTAAGAACATTGATGAGTTTTCAGTTCATTCGTAGCTAGAGCGATTTTTTTGGAAGGGTGTTCAAAACGAAATTGTCTGCCGCTGAAACCACACATTGTAACATATGACTTCCTTTGGGAAAAAGGGCAAGAATTTTACTCTGCATATTTTATATATATATGTGCATGTTTGGAGCCTATTTTGCTCCCAAGTCCCATATTTTCTGTAATTTGTTTTCCCTGATTCAAATAGTCAGTACCTTTTATCAGATGTAGCCAAGATGTCTTCTAGTAGTCAGCTTGTGCCTTTGAAAAACTATTGCTAACATTTATGGGGGAGCATGGAGTGATATAAGCCAGATTTTTTAATAAAATATAAAAGTTTTCCGAATGTAAACTCAATTTAAAAAAATAAAATATGAGATGCACAAAACACTCAGAAAGTGGGTTACAATAGTCTTAAAAACAAAACTGATTCAAGTCCATGTTTTGAGCGTATTTTCACCCCGTTATCTCATATCAAAACAATTCACTTTATTTGAAAGATTTCTGACGACTGAACAGTTTCTGCCGCTGAACTGCTAACACGAGATTTAGGTTTTCTCGAAGTAAAGAGGAATCTAAGCATCAAATGTGCTTGTTTTCATAGTGTGTACGGACAAGTAAATACATGTTTAGTGCCTGATGTACCCCAAAATCCCCAATCAATCGAAAGTATTTAAACTGGTCATTGGCTTAAAAAGACAATATATTTTGTTTGGAAATTTCCAAGTAAGGACTGTTCATTAATAAACACCTGTGACACCTGTTTCTCAAAGGAATATATTCATTTTGAACAAATTAGTAAGTTTACTTTATATAAATGAATATCATCATACACGGCAACTTTTCGGAAAACCATTTGTGCAGAATTAATATTTTTAACCCTAAACCATTGATAAACAGGTGTCCACTTTCTTTAATGAACAGTCCTTATACCATTTAGAAGCCAGTAATCAGTGATGCAAAATATCATGACACTCACGTGACACTCGTCTTCGCATCAACCGACTATCGCTGACAGATCGTTTTGTCACGCAGGGAGAGTTAGAGCCATGGCAAACAACAATCATCAGTAATGGTCGCTGCTCACAAGCAAAACGTTACACTCGCTGCTGATAATGAAAAGCACAACGAAAACAGTGAAGACTTCTGCAGTACGATCATGAGAAACGAAAGAAAAAATGAAAACAATGCCTACGCATTCCAAGTTCGTCTCGGCAGGCGCGAGTGTGTGAGTTACAAACAAAGCAGGCATCATTAAACGGAAGCTGTTGGGCTCACTCACTAACACACTCACATAAGCAAGCTAAGCAGCAACTGTTTCAAAACGAGCACAGATGAGTGTCGTGATTGTCAGGAATGACCATATCGGTGATGGATCATAACAGAAAACGACATTCACAAGTTGCTTTTTACTTCTTTCGTCAACTTGATGGATGGTCATGGAGAGAGCTTCGACGAGCACATTGATAGGAATGTACAAAGCGTTACTACCATCAGCTGTTTGATGATGGTGATTGTGATAGGTCACAACTCTGCCAGTAATTGAGCTTTGATTAACTATTTGAAACAATTTTAGAAGAATGTGGGGTCAAATAAGCCATGTGCCAAATATACAAGTTTGCTCATTTTGAAAGGCATGTTAAAAATAAATGTGTACGCTGTGTACAAAATACTCAGTAAATTGGTTGCAATAGTCTAAAAGACCAAAATTATGCATTTTTATGCATCAACCTTGTTTTGCACCGGTACCCTTGTTACTTGATTTATTTGTTAAGTTACTTGAATTTTACGCATTTTTTATTGATGACCATTCTTTATAATTTGGTTCTAAAAGTTATCAAGCATATTCACATCCTAACATTAAGGCCGTTTTACTAACACCACATAACATATGTGGACCTCGATCATCAAAAATCGACCCCATTTCAGTGATTTCAAGTGGTATAGAAAGACATCGATCTGTCAAATTGTTTATACCAGCTGTAAAATGAGAAAATGGATCAAGGGGGTAGTCAATTCAATTAATATAATTATAGCGTCGTTTATAATTCTCTGTCTTCTTAGAACCTTTGAACTTATGTCTTGGTTTTTCCTTAACTATTTACGTTCTTATTTATAACTATATAGCTAGCTCCTCACCTCACGTCACACAGCAAAAAAAATATATTAACGTTTGCAATCAAAATAGTATAATTTTTTCGCCGCCCTGCCACCCAACGATTAATCCTGAAATGTCATTGTAAACCATACGTATTGTTTTTCTGTAGTTATGGCAATAAAGTGGGGAAACTCTTCGCCAATACTTCTTCTAACCTTAAATCTTTTTGTATACTTAGAAGAAAAATGTATGTATCATTTTTTATTTGTTAACTTTTTTTTTAATGTTTGGAGCCAATTCCATCATCCTTTGAAAAAAAATGAATTGATTGATAGGAAAAATACGACCCCAAAAATTAGGAGTTAACTGCATACATTTTGAAGTCCAAAGAGAAGCAACATCATTTTGCAACAAATGTCCCGGTTTATGCGGAAATTATGCAGTGTTTTGAGCTGACCATCGTTCTATTCGCAATAATTTCGCAAGTGCAAAATCGAGTGCTTATCGATACCTGTAATACCCAATGATTCAATCATCCATATGCTTCTCAGCTGCGGCCGAGGCTGCGGCCAATTGAGAATGTTTTAAGCAAAACATCAACTCCAATTGTTTTGCACTAAAAACATGGAAAGATTGATCGAAAAGACAAATGAAGGGCGTTCCTAGCAAACTTTTTTCGATCACTATGGCTAAGGTGCCTTGGGCTCCCAGCTAGCTATATCAAAGTTAACACGAACGGCTATTAGAGATGAACTAGCCTCAGCTAAAAATCTCTCAAATAAAGATTGAAAAAAGGAACGGCTATATTTTCTAGCAACAATAAGCACTATTTACAGTAATCGTTTGAATCTATTTTACATATGATAAGTGTACCAGTACTGGCACTAGTGGTCCAATTTTTGGCCCTAAGGCCATATTTGAAATAAATTTTAATGACTTTATTTGCGTAGATTTCTTACCTTGTATCGAAACAAATTTAGAAAAAATGATGAAATGTGAAATTTAAGATAAGGTCAATTCGACGACCACTAGGGCCTAAAACTGGTACACATACCCTAGTTTTGTTTCTAGATTTCTTAGAAAAATTTCAACTTTTTATATATGTCAACAGAATATTTCATGACACTCATAAGTTGACTTACTAATAGCACAGTGAACAATATTATTCATATAAAATATTTAATTACACCTATTCAACGCAAACATAAAATCTTCGAATTGTTTGCATTCAATTAAATTCAATTATCGCAATTTACGCAATGAATCGAATGGAATTCAATCAGGTCAAAGAGACTAAGAAATATTGCATCTGTAAATATGCAATATTACTGGTTAATAACGCTCTTGATTGGCTTCTGACCGGCTTGAAAATGCTAGTTTAAAAAAAAACCTTTGATAAGCCCCCTGTAGAGCTGGTCGAAAGAAGAAAGGCCGCATTATCCGATGTCAATCATACAAGGTCTGTAACAGCAGGCAGCTTGCTGGTGTTAGAAGCAGAAATGTTATAAACATTGCTGCGCAAGCTAATGACGACGTTGCGTCAGCACAACATTTCATACTGCGAACAGCAGACGTGACATCACAGGCAACAGCTGCTTCGTGTAAAAAGATGTACTCTTAGGTGAAATACGCACACCACCTTCCACATTCAACTGTGTAATACCAATAAGTCAGTTGGGCCAGACCTTGTATGATTGAAATCGCGCATTACCCTGACAATTTACAATTCGCCTTCACTCTATATCTCTTTACTCTTATGGTAAAATCTCATCCGCAATCGTCAGTCTGTCCGTGAAATTTTGTGGACATTTCCTTACCTTTTCACTCCTATGAAAATCGCATAACATACTATTAAGCATTGTGTGAATAGATGGTGGCTCGCTGGTTCTATGATGAAGTGAATAGAT